TTATTATTATTCAATGTTTCAGTCATCAAAAATCGAATATAAATACATAAAAGTTAAATTTATATGTCTCTTTTGTTCCATATGCAATAAAACTTTAATATATTTTAATAAAATATTTAATTTAATATTATYTTTTTGAAAAATAATTAATTAATTAAGATATGTAAGGTTGACCAACTTTGTTGCATATGATACTATTTTGATATACTACAATCTTACCCGATAAAATAAATTATAGTGTTGACTCTTAACGGTAAGTGTTTATCAGGTAAACATTTAGGTAAAAGGCCCCTAAATCATATATTGTTTTTGAATATTAATATGGGGATTTAAAATAACATGCAAAACAAAGTAAAAAAGAATCACTAACGTGATGTTAGTGAAATTAACTCACATAGACACAAAAGATACAATTAAAGTGTCTTTTAATAAATAAAAAAACTTTGGTGGATTTTCTGTAAGTAGTCTGAAAGTTGAAGGGTGAAAGTGGTTATATACTTATATGTATAAAAAGCAGCCGTGATCCTCCAATCTCGATGGAAACGGAGCCAATTGTTTCTGTCTACGATTGCTTGCTCTCCGCCGTGTATTCACTGAATTCGGCATCTATAAGAACAACCCACCCACTTCACTTGCTCTTCTCAATCAAGGTTAAAAATGGCCGCTAMACAAGGAGAAAAACACGTCCAAGAAGATGGGAAAACCCCCCTTCTCACCCCCTACAAAATGGGAAATTTTGAACTWTCTCACAGGTTGTAATACTCTTTGATCTTCTCACATTTGTCTATTTTCTTTTTTTGGATGCTTTCTTCTGTTTTAGTTTATGGGTTTGATTTCATTTACAGCCATATGCTCATGATATGTTTGATAAAAAGCCAAACAGGGTTTGCATCTTTTTCACTTTTTTTATTTGGAAAGAAAGATTCTGTTCATTTTCACCACATTTGGGTTATCTTGCAAACCTAATTCTTTCCCTTTCTAGCAAGTAGAATTTAACTTGCTTGATTTCAGATAATTGCTCTTTATTTTCCATTAATAATTTGGAATTAACTAGTACCATCTCCCATGAAAAGATCTTGATGCTTTTGAAATACCTATGGAAAACCCCATTTGGTTTTTGTAGTCATTGGTAGTGTTAATTTATTGAATTTATGTTCTGAATTCATAAGGTTTTACTAATTTGTTTAATGTGTACAGAGTTGTTTTGGCACCTCTAACAAGGCAAAGATCATGGGGCAATGTCCCTCAACCACATGCTATCTTATATTATTCACAAAGAACAACCAAAGGAGGCCTTCTTATTACAGAAGCCACTGGTGTTTCAGATACTGCCCAAGGGTATGCATATTAATTTATGACTCATCTCCATGAAAATTTACAACTTTCCCTCTTGCCAAATTTCAAAACCCATCATTRKTACTTGTTATGCCATTGATTTTKATTCACAAGATTTCCTTATTTTGTTGGTTTCTTGTTTGAAGGTATCCCGAMACGCCAGGCATATGGACAAAGGAACAAGTCATGGCATGGAAACCGATTGTGGATGCSGTTCATGCAAAAGGCGGAATCTTTTTCTGTCAAATTTGGCATGTTGGGAGGGTTTCAAATACCGGTATATCTAGACGCTTAATTTGTTCATTATTTCATGTGATTTCTAGCTTGAGAATGTTAAATAGTGTAACCTAATCAATTCTTCATCTTATGAACAGGTTTTCAGCCAAACGGGCAAGCCCCGATATCTTCCTCGGACAAACCATTAACACCTCAATTAAGAAGCAATGGCTTTGATGTTGCAGAATTTTCACCTCCAAGGAAACTAACAACAGAGGAGATTCCYCTTGTTGTTAATGATTTTAGACTTGCTGCAAGAAATGCAATTGAAGCTGGTAAGACTTATTGATTCTTTACATTCTTATCTTTCTAATGATTGAGAACTTTCCATAAATGGAAATGTTGCCATATTTATAGCATTGAGGGAGTACTTTGATGTTAATAATGACACTAATAAAGTGGCATTATAAAAAACTTGGATAACTGATTTTCCCCAAATATGGATCATATAGGTTTTGATGGAGTTGAGATCCATGGCGCTCATGGTTATTTAATCGATCARTTTTTGAAAGATCAAGTAAACGATAGGACAGACCAATAYGGTGGCTCTCTAGAAAACCGTTGCAGATTTGCTTTAGAAATAGTTGAGGCCGTTGTAAATGAGATAGGAGCAGATAGAGTGGGTATACGATTATCCCCATTTGCAAACTACATGGAATCAGAGGACTCAAATCCGAAAGCTTTAGGTCTTTATATGRCTGAATCTTTGAATGCATACAAGATTCTTTATTGCCATATGGTGGAACCAAGGATGAAATTAGTAGGCGAAGCAGTCGAATGCCCTCACAGTCTTGTGCCAATGAGAAAAGCATTCAAAGGAACTTTTATTTCTGCTGGAGGGTATGATATGGAAGACGGTAACAAAGCCTTGTCTGAAAACCGAACAGATCTTGTTGCTTATGGTCGTTGGTTTTTGGCAAATCCAGATTTGCCAAAAAGATTCGAGCTTAAGGCTCCTCTTAACAAGTATGATAGGAGCACGTTTTATACACCTGATCCTGTCGTTGGATACACCGATTACCCATTTCTGGAAACCACGGTTTAAGTTCGTTAGAGTCGATCTAAGCACACAAGTTTGAAGAAATTAGAACGAAGATTCTGATARGTTGGAAATGTTGAGTAAAAGCATTGATCAAATTAAAGGGTCTGAAATAATCCATGTTTATTTACGTGAAGTTATCTGAGGGTGATTGGCAAATTGCAATATAGTGTTTGTTTCCTTGTTTTATGTTTTGTGAAATTAATARATACTCTGTTATGACGGTGTCACTAGCAAATGTTATTGAGACAAACAAAAGATACACTTAAAAGAGTACGGTATCACTGCCTTRGTGCWTGTCCACTCAACAAGCGGGTCAATAATGAGATACCATGAYATGGTATTCAACAATTGCATCACCCAATAGATTAGAACTATACGTTTT